ATATAATTCATTGATTGAAGAATATAATTCATTGATTGAAGAATATAATTCATTGATTGAAGAATATAATTCATTGAAGAATATAATTCATTGAAGAATATAATTTTGTGCGGCCTAAATACAAAAATGCATAACGGAAGAACGAAGAAAACTCCGAATCTCTAACTATAAAATCCCTCGTATTCGATCTTTCAATTCCTCACTTCACGTTTTATCAACGCTTGAGTCTTAAGCCTTTTATATTGCCACTATCACATTTACATTTTAAAAAAATTTTTGCAATAATGTCTTTAAAATTTTATATCGTTTTTGCTTTTATCGTCCTCATGGCGTTATCAACTTGGTCTGCACCTGTTGCTGAAGAAAGTGGTGGTAATTTTGTGGACATGAAGGCGCCTCACAAACGGGATGCTAAAGGTGAATTTGTGGACATGAAGACGCCTCACAAACGGGATGCCAGTCCTGAATTATCAAGCGCTTTTCACCTAATGGCTGATCTCAAGGAAAAACGTGAAGTTAATGATGAACCCTCTAAACGCGAAGCTGAAGAACCCCATCTCTCTAAACGTGCTCTCTTCTATCGTGGTGGCGCTTACAATATAAACACCTGCTGCTATGCTCATTGCGGTAGTTATAATTACTGCGCATATTGCAGCTATACATACGCGGAACCTACAAATTATTGTATATGCTTCAATTCTTAAATATATCTTAAATATATTTTCTACCACATTAAATGATATCAATTTATATTTTTGGTTTTTGTGGTTCATTTATTAATGTTAATTTTTGTCACTTCAAAAATGATGTCAATTTATATTTTTATTTATGTGTTTCGATTATTAATGTTAATCTTTGTCGCTTCAAATATGGTGTCAAATTATGAGATTATTTTTCTTTTTGTTCAAATGTCCTTTATTATTTTATTAATGAAAAATTATAATAAAGCGGAATATATTTAAATCTCATTTTTTTAACGGTGTTACGAATAGTTGTGGCATATGATTGAGTAAAGTAGACTACAAAAAATTGCATTTGAGTATATTGAGTAAAGTAGACTACAAAAAATTGCATTTGAGTATATTGAGTAAAGTAGACTACAAAAAATTGCATTTGAGTATATTGAGTATACAAGACTAGCATATTATACATAGAAGATATATATAATTTATGTATAAAAAAAATAGCATAGTTGCAAATAATTTATTTATATAATCTCACGAAAAATTCATAAGATCGCCAAAACAATTTCCTCGTAATATCTAGAAAAAGAAATTTGCTCCTGGCTTTTTTTATAATACATAAGCTCGAAAAGCATAGGTACGATTGGTCATGTGATTGGACTAATGCCGGCAAGCCAAAGTTGCCGGAAATAAATTCAATTAAAGGACTTTAAGTCCGCAG